ATGGATTTGTAAAGTACAATATGAAGTCAACTCTGCATAGTTTGAATGTGTGTGTGTGTGTTGTAAATCTTTTAGAAGTTAAAATATAGCCAGGTATGTTGACACACCCCTTTAATTCTAGCACTTGGGAAGCAGAAGAAAGTCCCTGTGAATTCGAGGCCAGTCTGGTCTACAGAGTAAGTTCCAGGACAGTTAGAGATACAATATATATATATGAGACCTTGCCTCAAAAAAATATACACACAGATACATATATATATTCAAATTATATGTTGTTCTTATTGGAATATACATAAAACCATATATGTATATACAATTAGATTTTGTGCAAAGAAAACAAGACATATACATATTAGAAATTATATTTAAGGGAAAGTTATGCAAGCCTCAATCTATCCTTCTTAAACCCACATGTAAATTGCCACATAATTATTCTGTCATGTTCATGTTGTCCTATCTAAAGGAAGAATGTTCAGTTAGTTGACTTTTGGATTAGTATGGCATGCAGGCAGTTTTAGGAATTCAGGAGCCCAATGTTCAAAGCTAAGGAATATGGAGAGACAACCGGAGTTTCACCGATGTGAGAAATGGGGCGGTCTTGGGAGGCCTCTCCTGTGTCTGTCCAATAAGGGCGAAAGGAAAGGCTAGGACCTTTTAAAATTATTATTTTCATTTATTTTTATTATAATTGAGTTACTGTGGATTAGCTTACCATATGGCAGCCTCCTAGTTAGAATAACATAGCTGGGATGTAGCCTTCTCTTCCATGATGATAAAGCACTTAGCTTCTCCGACTATAATGCGGATTCCTCCCAGACTGCATCGTTTGCACAGTATGTTCCAGCTCAGATTAGGTGAGTGGGTGGAGACATTTTAAAAAACTGGTCTCAGATTTTTAAAAATAGAATATTTCTAAATGAAAGTCACGATTCCCAAAGCAAAGTGAAAGTTGAGCATAAACGTATTCAGTCTCATTATTCTTAAAGTGGGAGAAATAAACCTTCCATGTTGCTGGTTCATTGTTTCGCACTACTTTTGAAAAACACACATTTGACTGCTGAAAAAAATCATCTGAATCCAGAAGAAACGGTTAGATATATGATTCTGAGTAAAACTGAGCTGAGATTTTTATACCACTCAAATTTATCACTACTCAAATGCAAGTGAGATAGTTTCCTGGATAGTGTCATGAGCCCAACGGTCAGCCATTAGAGATGAAGTCAGGTAAGAGCTAAAGCCCAGCATGGGTGGACCTTGTCTGCTGTTCTCTTTATGGCTACGGCTTTGGGTTTCTATTCCCCAGGCATATGCACTGTTATCTAGACAGTTAGTGCTCAGCTAGGAATTTAATATAGAACCATTTATTAATAATAGTGGTACTGGGGGTAGTACACTTGCTTAGTGCACTGGCTGGTTTTGTGGGTCAACGTGACTCAAGCTGGAGTTATCACAGAGAAAGGAGCTTCCGTTGAGGAAATGCCTTCATGAGATCCAGCCGTAAGGCATTTTCTCAATTAGTGATCAACAGTGGGAGGGCCCATGGTGGGTGGTGCCATCCCTGGGCTGGCAGTCTTGGGTTCTATAAGAAAGCAAGCTGAGCAAGGCAGGGGAAGCAAACCAGTAAGTAACATCCCTCCATGGCCTCTGCATCAGTTACTGCTTCCTGACCTGCTTGAGTTCCAGTCCTGACTTCCTTTGGTGAGGAACAGCAATGTGAAAGTGTAAGCAGAATAAACCCTTTCCTCTCCTATTTGCTTCTTGGTCATGATGTTTATGCAGGAATAGAAACTCTGACTAAGACACCTAGTGTGTATGAGGCCATACATTTGAATTTTAGAACCCCAAATAATAAAAAATCATAACACCACCTTGATTATTTATTTGTTGATTAATTAAGTACTGATTTGTGTGGGTCAAAGATATGGCAGTTATTATGGGAGTCTAAGTTAAAGCTTCAAAATAAATACTAGTGTTCTATTATAGAACTGGGGAAAGATAAGCTAAGAGCAAGGAAATTATTCAAAATTAGCAACACTTTGCTGGTTACTATATATAAGAAACTAAAGACTGTTATCTTCAAGTTCAGAAATTAATGATAAAAACTAGATTACCTTAAATAGCTAAGAAGTAATATAATTACTAATTACAGAATGCTAAATTAGTAAAATAATTTACAATATTTATTTTAAAGGGTTTTGATGAAGGGTCCTAGAATTTCCTTCCTTGGAGAATCACTGTCTCTGGATTACTATAGTTAAATGCCGTGTAAGTAAGTTTTCTGTAGTTATTCAATTTAACATGAAAATGGTTCCCCCCCCAAAAAAAATGTTAGGAGGTATCATATCCTTTTTGAAATTATATGAATAAGAAATAAAGCACACAGTGTTTTCCTATTTAAAAAAAAAGTGGCTCCTCTGATGGCATTTGGTGTCAAATATCTCAGACACATAATTTTGCAAATGCTTCATACTGAATTACAAATTTCATTTGTGGAATTCTCTGGCAAACACTTGTGCCTCTTAGACTTGCCAGCTTCTATATTCAGAGTAGAAATCAGCCATAGATTGTCACAGAATGACCTCAGACCAGACCAGGCCTGGCCATTGTGGTTCTATTTCTAGCTGTGACATTTTTCCCTGATAATGGTTTGCCAAACACTATTATTATGCCATCCTCAAAGCCAAAATTTATATTTTGAGATATTCTAGTTGCCATTTTTTAAACTGTCTTGCTTGCACTGCAAGAATTATGGTTTATGAGTTGGCCTTGTAGTTGTTCATCTAGTGATGTATTTATTTCAAGTTCGATGATGGGAAACCACATATTAGACATGCCCTGGGGAGGAAAAGATCAGCTTTCAAGTAAATAGTTAGAGTTCCTGTTGGGTCTCACTGATCCAAGAGACTTGGGATAAACAAGTGTCCAGGTATCAGTCATGAAGTCCATGAAGCTCAGAGTTCAGTCCAGAGTTTGCTCAGTTACCATGACCCCTAAACGTTGTTTCACCAAGTCTCTTAGGAGAGTTTTTAAGGGTAGCCACATGATTGAGTGCTTGGCCCATTTTCCTTTCGCTTGCCCTCCCTCTGGTGGAGGTGTTAATGAGTGAAACACCAGGATGGGCAGCTGAGAGTCCAAGGCCTTGCATCTTGTACCCCTTACTCTGTTAGTCTGTGGGGTGGTGAGTGACTGGCTGTTGGTTGTCACTTTGCAGAGACCGGAGAGTGCCTGTGCCCTTTGGTCTACACAGAAGGAATCTAAATGGGAGATGAGTCACTTATTCAGAGATTACTATTGCTCATATCTTCAGGCAGGTATAGACCTAACTTTTCACTGCCAATGTGTTCCTAGTAAGTGTCAGTGAAAGAGTAAAGTTCTGTTGAGGAAACAAGACAAAGTCTTGCTTCATAGCAACCTAATAGTTTAATAGTTAATACACAAGATTTTGATACTTTGATATCTTAGTAACCAACATAATGTTTTTATACTTTCAGAGTCCCTATATAGTTGTGATTTCACCTGATGTTCACAGCCCAACAAACTAAAAATGTATGGTTACATTCATAGAGTCTAGTGAGCAGGCCAGAAGCATATTTCCCAAATCCTAGTCATACAGTCATCTCCATTCATAGAGTGTACGCACATAAGACATACATAATATAACTCATAAAGTTATGAGAAGCATTCCCATGATTTATTTTGGGACACTATGCTCATACCTCTCCTAGGGATAGGATTAAATTCTTACTTATAGACCACAAGTCTATAGGCACATAGTAAGTTAAATGTTAGCTAATATGGTTATTATAATTGAAAAGGATGTTTGAAGTAGCTGTATATAGAATGGATTCTGGTGCTCTCTGTCTCTGCCTTTCTCTGCCTCTACTACCCTCTTAACTCCTCTCCCCATGCCCTGAATAAACTCTATCCTTGAATAAACTCTATTTTTTTTCTCTCTCTCTCCATATATATATATATTCTCTATATATACATATACTCTCTATATATGAATACACACACACACACACACACACACACACACACACACATATATATATATACAATGGATTCTGGAACCAGACCCTCTGGGCTTGACTTCTGCGTCCACATTGCAGTCTCATTAAGATGTATATAAAACTCTGAGAGTAGTACCCACCAGGAGACAGAGCTAAAGAGATGTTGGTTGCCATTGTTTCTGATTAGCTCTAGTCCTTACACACGTGTAAAAATTTGCACCATTACATGGAAAATGAGGAAGATAGATTATAGTATTTTAAAAAGACTTTTTTTTTTCTTTTTTTGAGACAGGGTTTCTCTGTATAGCTCTGGCTGTCCTGGAACTCACTCTTTAGACCAGGCTGGCCTTGAACTCAGAAATCCACCTGCCTCTGCCTCCCAAGTGCTGGGATTAAAGGTGTGTGCCACCACCGCCTGGCAAGACTTTACTTTTGTGTGTGTGTGTGTGTGTGGTTATGTGCAGTGAGTACAAGTGCACTCAGAAACCAGAGGTGTTGGATATTCATGGAGCTGGTGTTTCTTGTGGCTGTAAGCCGCCTGGTGTGGGTACTAGGAATTTTTTTTAACTGCCGAGCCATCTCTCTCTCCAGGCCCTGGATAGACTCTTGGTTCTCACATGGTACTTCCTTTGACTGAAATGTTGCATCTGTACATTTTGTTACTCCATAATGATTTTTATTTCCTTTCATGGCCAACTTTTTATTCTCTAGTTCTAAAAGGAAGCCTTCTTCCCAAACCACCATTTGTAATGATCAAAACCTTGTAGATACCCTCAGCTGTTACGCACTCAGTTATGCCATGCACACACATTTGCATCTGTAAGCGGTGGATGTTTTTGCCTGTCCCCTCTTATTCTCTAAAGCCCACTAGCGATAAACCACTTGAATGTTATATTTCTATTCCATTTTTGCTGCTTTACCCAGTGGGAGGGTATAACTAGATCTGCTGTGTAACAGCATGCTGCTACTCAGTAAATCACAGGGTAGTAGGCTCTATTTTCATTTATTTATTATTTATCACCCTTGGCTACTGGTTAATTTGGTTAGGGGCAGTTACACCTTACATATTTCATAGCTACTGAAAAAATGATCTAGTTAATTTCTCTCCTCTAATGTCAAGATTTGGTGGTAAATTCTGTCTGGATTTGGTTGTAAATTCTGTCTGGCCTCTTTCACTGTAAGGAACTATAAATAAACTAAGGTTCAGGTTCTTTACCAGCTCCTGAGTGCTCTTTTGAAAACCTCCACAAGAAACAGGACCCTAGGCGATGGGTGTGGAAAACGGGAGGAGTCTTTAGAAGGTAATTGTAGCCAAGATGAAAAAGGTAACACGTCCCACAGCGTCTTGGTTTTTGTTCTGTTCTTTCGGGATGGTGGTGACAGTTGATCAGACACAAAAGCTGTCAGTCCCCTGCCGAAGTGAGGATCGAAATGACCATCAACAGCATTAGCAGGACATAGACCTGGAGGGGGTATGTGCATAAGATGGGGAGAGGACTGGGGTGAAGAGGTGCCAAGCACCACTGCCACAACTAGAGGCTCCTCTGGGGATCAGAGCTGGTGAGCCACCTCCCGAGATGGGGTGGGGATGGGAAGGGGCGGCTGAGGGGCGGGGCAGAAGACGAGCCCGTAGGACCTGATTGGCTCGCATACTCTCGCAGCGTTACCGGATTGGGCGGTTTGCAGCGGGAGATGTTATGAGGCACAACAGGGCGGAGCCAGGCGTTCGGGTCTGAGCCCAGGCTGGGAGTGGGGTGTGGAGCGGCTGCCGCGGGGCTGGCGGCTGAGCCCGAGTGACGGGAGCGTGGGGAAAGCTCAGCCACCGCCGCTCGGTTCCGCTAGCCGCGCCTAAATCGCTCAGTAGCCCTGCAGGTTAAAAAAAAAAAAACACCCTCCCCAAATCTGAACGACACGTAGTCGCCAACCACCCGGTCCCTGCTTACCGCAGGAAGCTACCTTTCAGTGTGGCGGGCGGGGACACTCCCTTATCTGGAAGCCCCACATCCCGTAGCTTCTCGCCCCACCCGCTGCAGAAAAGGGGCCGCTGTTCCCCAAGACCTGTCCCGCAGACAGCTGCGGGGCTGTGCCTGCTTCTGGAGCGGCGCTCGGGAAGCGGCCGGAGTTGTGTGCCCGGCGTCGGGGAGCGGGGACGAGAGGGCTAGCGGGTGCCCAGGTTTCGAGGCGCCTGGGGAGCACCACCCTTATCCCGACCCGTCTTCCTCTTCTAGCTTGGCTCCCGGGGCTGGGTGACTGCAGACCGAAAACTCCTCGCCCCCGAGCGTCCCCCGGGAGGGGAGGGGAAAGAGGTGGGGTGGGAGGAGGTGGATCCAGAAGGAAGGCGCGAGCAGTCCGCCCCCGGGAAGCAGCTCGCGCGCCCGCGGGCTCGGCCAGTCTCACGCTCGGTGATCGCGGGCGCGGGAGCGTGGGGCCCCGGCCGGCCCGGCCAGGCGAGGGGAGAGTCCGGCGGCCGCCGCCCCGCCCCACGCCCTCCCGCGGCGCCCAGAGCCCGGGGCCGGCCGGGGCAGGTCTTGGCGCTGCCTGGGAGCCGACCTCTAGCCCGCGTTCTCCGTTGCGTGGCCGCTCGTCTCACCGCCCCGGGCTGAGGCGCGGGCCCGCGGAGGCCGCGCCCGCGTGTGCGCAGCGAGAGAGGCCGGGGCACAAAGGCGAGCAGCGGGCGCCGGGGTCCGGCGGGCCGCGGAGGAGGGGCGGCGCCTCATGAATATTAACCGAGCCGCGGCCTAGCGCTGCCCGCCGCGGGCCGAGCCGCCGAGCGGAGCCCTTGCTTCCCGCACGCGCCCGGGCCGCGCTTCCCGGGAGCCCGCGCCGGCGACCCGCCTCAGGAAGGGGCGGAGGAAATAGTGGTAGGTGGGTGGTTTCCCCTCTGCCTCAGGTGGCCACCGGGAAGGGCTAGCCGGAGCCCGGGCCGGGGTCGGGGGTGGGGGGCCGCAGCGGCGAGCTGAGAGTTGCCGGGGCCGCGGCTCTCCCGAAGCATGCCCGGGAGCCGGAGCGGGAGCGGCGCCGCGTCCCACCCGCGGCCGCACGCCTCCCCACCCATCCCAGCCGCGGGCCAAGGAAAACAGCCGCCTCCTCGGGGGCGCGGGCCGGGGCGCAGGGCAGGCTGCCACGGCCGGCCGGAGTCATCCGCGGTCCGGGCGGCCGCCGCCGAGCCCACGCCCGCCCCGGTCCGAGCTGGCTTTTTGTTTGTTTGTTGGGGAGTTGGAGGGCGTCTGCGAGTCTAACCCAGTGCGGAGAAAACTTCGCTTAAGAGTAGGTATCCGGGTGCTGCAGAATGCACACACCGCCTCGGCGTTGCCCAGGAAATGCAGCACTTGAACCGGGATTTTTTTTTTTTTTCCCTTGAAGGATTCATAGCAGCCGGGCGTGTTTGACACAGCCACCGGGGCAGTTCTGAGGTCTCAATCTCTCTTTCTCTTCCCGACGTTCGGGCGTTTTCTTTCTTTTAAAAAAAAAGTATTGCATGAGAAGATTGTTTTCTTTGCAGGGTTCACTTCGTAGACTGAGTAATCCTTCGGATTGTGGGAGAAGGGGAACTTGTTCTGGGCTTGTGGCAAGGCTAAAGATCGGCGCCCGGGGAAAGTTCATGTCCTTCATTAACTTCTCCCTGTTCCAGGAAGGATCTCCGAAAGCTGATTTTTCTCTGGCCTCCAAGTAACACTGCCTGGAAGTGGACCTCTTCTCTCTGCACTTGGCCTCCACCCGACCTGCCAAGGAAACCTGTCGCCCCTGAACTTTTAAGTCTGGAGAAATGAAGAGGGCTAAGTCTGTTGAACAGGGTATTTAAAGGGGCTTCCTGCAAATCGTTTTTGACCAGTCCTTACCCTGCATCGCCTCAGAACCTGCTGTGGAACTGCTTCCCGTTTGGTGTGTGGTGCACCTTTCCAATGTGTACTCCAAAGGATTTGTCCCTTTACAATTTGAAATGAAATGATGGCCACACATTGGACTGGTCTGCCTGAGGGAGATGGTGACAAACTCAAGGCCTGTGGAGCCGCCTCTGTGTGTGAGGTAAGCCAGCTAGCTGGGCGGTGGCTTATGTCTGTGAGCGTCCTAAGAGTACGGGGGTCGTCGGCCATGGAGTCTGTCAGCTGCTTGGTGGCAGTGCCCCAGTTGACCAGGAGGGAAGTGAAGCCTGGCCTACTTTTGCTTCTAGGGACTTCAGCGATTAATTAGCAGGGAAAAGTCTCTGTCTTACATGCCAGAGTCTTGGTTACCCTTCTGAGCAGAGGCATTCTTCCATGTCTGGCTGAGAAGCCTGAGAACAGTAATGTCCAGCATCCATTTTTCCTCCAGTGTTTTGGACATTGGTCTGCTTGGGGATGGCTTTATGTAACGCTTGTGTGTGTTACATCCTCAGTGGTGAGGGCAGCTGGTATGCTTTGGTGCACTTGGAATCCGATGTTTTCGACTATGATGGGAGGGGATCCTGGTTCCTAGTGGTGCCGATAGCAGCTTTGGGTGGGAATTGAAGGCTTCCCATGGACAGTTTAGACTCAGTCTTGGAAAACGCCTGTGGTGTTGAAATTCCAACCTCCTGGAAATCTTCTGGCTTTGCTGTTCTTTTATTTATGCCCAGTTGGCCCTTACACTGCTGCACAGTTCTGTGGGCTGCTCGGGTGGCAGGTGGCTCTCACTGAAGTGCAGAGAATGGCTGGCTGGGAAGAATTTACGTGGCCTTATAAAAAAAAATTTTTTTTTGAGCCACCTGAACAGAATTTGTAGAAAATCTCCCTGTTCACGTATGGCATAACTCGGTCTGCTGTCTTCTCTTACTCTCCTTGTATTCGAGCTGGTGTATGTGTGGAGTTTATGTCTGTGATGGTTCTGTCGTGTTTACTTTGTTTTGTATAGTTCCTGTAATTTGCTCGTTAAAGGTGCTGATCATTGTTGTTCTGAATTGAGACGTGTCTTTATTGAGATGACACTGTTGGCAGTAGCAACATCTCCAGTGAGCCCTCAGGAGCTCTCGATTTCTTTTCCTCTGTTGTAAATTTTCTCTTCATGGTCTTAGGACATTTAGTCAATTAAATCTTGGTCTATAAAACATGCGGAAAATGCTTCTCAGTTTACTTCATTTGGGGATAGAAAGTTTATGTGGAGGGGGCTTTTTGTGTGTTGCTACAGTTTATCGGACAAAGCCTCAGGTTTACAGCTAGAATTAGTTTTCTACTTTTTGATATCAGTAAACACCTGCTTGCAGGTAAAGTGTGATTAAGTCTGACACCACAATCCTCTGATCACAGTAAACCATAATGACGCCTTTTGGAAGACCTACCTACAACCTGGTGATTGCTTAATGGGTATTGTAGTTACATAATAATATATGCTGTGGTCCTAAAGCCTTATTTGTCATTGTCTTGTGAACACTTTAATTAGCATGCTGCTGGCTTTGTGTTTGCAAGAACTAACGTTTATTTGATAATATGTGTGTGTTGTTATTGTTTAAGGGTTACTCTCAAACCAAGAATGTAGACACATCTTGTACTTGTCTAGAAAACAGTGTTCTTCCAGCTAGTTGTGTACTGGTTTTATTGATAGTGGCAGTGTGTGTGTGTGTGTGTGTGTGTGTGTGTAACACACACACACACACACACATACATATCTTAAAGGCTGTGAAATGTGGCATTTCATTTGGGCATTTTGCTTATGTGGCTATTGTTTCTAGTTAAGAGTGAAAAAACAATATTGTCTGTATTTTGTTCATTTAAAGAGTACTTGAATTTGGTATTAATATGTTTTGGCTTTTTAAAGACTAGTCTTAGGTTCTTTATGCTTCAGTAAACATTTGCAAACTGGCAGGTGGGAAGTAGGGGGACAGTGATATTAGTGCCTTTGGTTCGCTGTGATGTGAGTTTCTCTTTGATGCTGGGAACAGATTGTGACTATTTCTGAACACTAGAAAGGGAGTTGCCATAGTTGGGTTTGATAAGTATTTGTTATTGAACACTTTGTTTTTAGTTTTATTGGAAGTATTGTATTCTGTAATACTGTTATTTGATACTTAAGAAAAGGAACAAAAAGAAGAAACACATTCCTGAATGTGTCTGAATAATATATTGATATATATTCTTAACTAATCAGGAAACAAATACGTAGGTCTTGGTTTTAATGCTGATTGTCAATCGACCAAAATGCCTAATTTGGTGAGACCGAGGAAACCAGTTTAGTCATTGAATTAGCATTTCTTTCATGCCTTATTTAATTAGCGTATTTTGTGTTCTGTGGATAAGGTCAGTTGCTTTGCTTAAAACGAAGATTTCATGTTCCTGTTAAATAGTCCATTCGTGTTGATAAGTATATTAATTTAGGCACCCTTCCTCGGGATTATATTGGAAGACCAAAAAGCTTGGAAACCAATAGCTTTCATAGCTTAAAGAATTACGTTAATTTTAGAAAGTGTCTTGATATTATACAGTCAGGACAGTCAGATTGTGTTCAGACAAATTTACTCTATACATCTAAATGTCATTCCCGTCCCCCTTCCCCTAGGTCCTGCTGTGTAGCCCAAGCTTGTCTTACCCTCATGGCAGTCATCCTATGTCTAGCACCTTCCAAGTGCTAGGATTATAGGCAAGAGCCACCGGGGTGGGCTTTAAAGATGTGCTTTTCAGTAATGGTTTTAGTCACCCTGAGCCATGGTGTGTGTATGTCTGTGTGTCTGTCTGAGTAACTTTGGCTTGCTATTTTGTTTAACATAATAGACTGCTTTAAATATTCTGTGATAAGATCATTCCCCTTACTTATTACTTAGTTTTAGGCTTCAAGGTTTAGCTTCTTGTTGTTGGTTATTTTTTTTAATATACCAGAAAACTGAAAAGTTTCATTGATTTTTTTTTTAAATTTCTGCCCATTTTAAACACTGATTGTACCTTTTAGTCTGTAGCCCAGTAGTCTACAATAATGAAAGTTTTAGCAATTCTATTATTAACAACTTAACTGTTATTCTTAATTTCATTAATTCAGTTTGTGTCTTTTGCTTGCTGATTAATGGAATACTATAAGCACTAAGGGTGTTTTTCTGAGTAGGAAATTACATGAAGTCTTGCTTTGGCTGTCTTTTATAGTAGTGCTAATTTTGTTTTGTCCCAGACTCCCTTGTTCCATCTCAAGCTCTTTCTGTTTTTTAGTTTTGTCTGTCTTTTTTTTTTTTTAAATAGAGTTCTTTTACTGTTTGCCCATTTCATATTGGATTAAGCCAGAGACAATCTCTTTCTATTCCTTTATCCACTAAGTTCCTCCTAGGTTCTATTTTATGTTTTCCTATGACTTTAATTTATCTGTAGTAGACACCCAGTCTCTAGCTCTATCGCAGATTCTGTGGTTGCCTTCTAGACTTACATAGGAACTGTGTTTATCACTCAGTGGTGTTTGAGAATGTCCTATAAGCAATGCACTCTTTCCAGATCTGTTCTGCCACCAACCTGCCTGTCTGTGCGGCCAGCTCTTTTATGAG